TCCAGGGGAAAGAGATCAAGCATCGCGAGACGCGTTCCGTAGTGTACGGATTTGAGGCCGGCAATCATTCTAGTGGCGGCCCGCTGGACACACTCAATGAGGGTAACGTCTTTTGTACGTCCTGAGTAGACAATTTGGTTGGCGTACTTCAGGAGCGGTCTGACGTAGGCCCCATAAAGTATTTGGAAGTGCATGCGAGTAATACGGGAGTAGGTGCGTCGGATCATCCGTAAAATGGCGAATGCCTTTTGGGCCGATTTCTCATGGTGTAGTAAGAAGGACAAGTTTGAGGAAAGCCATATACCTATCTCGGCTACTTTTGGAAACTAGTTGGCCCATACCTACGCGACGCTAGTAACGGGTCTCGGCTCTGCATGATAGCTTAATACAATGGCCCTCGTAATCTCATCATCATCATAACCGTGTCCGTCGTCACTCCGCCATGTCCCTCCTTAAAAATTATAAAACCACCATTGACGAAAATTTTTTGTTTGATAAATGGTTTGCTTTAACCATAATGGGTAGTCACTCTATTCCTTATAACAGTTTTGTCCGCCCATGAATCTGAAATGAAAAATATGTAGTCGATTTTAATTCGTTTATACCGTATTGGTTGCTCATTAAATATGTAGTCGATTTTAATTCGTTTATAACGTATTGGTTGCTCAGTTAGCCACATTGTCGATACTGAAGGGTTCCTGTGCACGCCAGTCTTGCGATGGCGATGTGTAGTGATCAAACGCACTATGGAATACAAATAAATCGTAAAATCAATTTGTGTAGACTTGGTCCCTGGAATTCCAGGACCTCATGCGTCTGCCAACAGATGTGATCGTAGTGAGGATCTAGTGAGTGGGCGTGTACTTGGTATAAAATCTGCTTCTTCAGAGCACTAAATCGCAACTTTATTCCACTTCTGCATCTCGTTACTTATACTCTGTCGTCCTTAACATAACTTGTAGGCATCTCATGCCCAATCACCTCACCGACTGGCGGAGCCGTTCTTGAACACCGCCTATCAGCAGCAGCACAAACGTTTGTAACCCGACATTTTATGAACCGGAGCATTCGTTAAAGCCAAACACTTTCCACATCCAGACGCGCCTGGCACGTTGAAAGCCGCTCGGTAAATCAGGCTAACTTGAGGCTTTTTCCATGTCTTTCAAACGGATTTGGGCCTTCTTAGTTCATCGTTTATGCCGACATTCAATAATCACGTCTAAACTATACGAATACATGGACGGCCAAGATGGCCACTTCCAGTGCAGTCCAATTGTTTCTGATGATGATGGTCTAACTGTGAACTGACTGCCCTAGAAACGAATATCCTTCAACACACTTCCAGCTATCACCAACTATCCACCACAACAATGCCGCCACTTCCGCCTTTACTAAAAACCCCCCCGAATGCCACCACTTCCGCCTGTACTAAAAGCCCTCCTGACTTTATGCTCAACATCATACGCTACTTCCTGCACTGATTTCACATATTTCCCCCACATTCACTGCTATACCTTGTGCTGAGTATACCTCGATCTTTAATTTTGTGACACTCCTCCCCCCCCAAATCACCATGGTTCCGCGCTCAATTTAACGAATGGCCCGCAAATTTGAACAATATACACAAAAACTATTTAAAAAATGCCTGTGCTGTCGGCTTGAGCTTGCCGCGGGAAACTTTCCCGTCTTTTGTGCTCAAAATACATCCCCCTGATTGCAAAAAGAAGACTAAACCCAACGGAGTGTTGAGACCTGCTTTAACTTAAGTATCAGTATTTGTCCCAACAGATTTCAACCATCTCCTTTTGTAATGCATCTGGCTTCGTTTTTCGCCACACCTTTTATGTGAAACATTCACATTTTTCGGCCCCAACAATTTCGAGACCGGAATGGAGCTTGCTGCGGTTTACATTTCTCGACTGCTCTCACTTTGTCTCGCCATGATTTTTCACTACATCGTGCTACCCGTATCTAGCCCAAAAATTATTCATGCGCCTCCACGCGATACGGCGGTTGATCACGACTGGCTGCGGTAGTTACATGGAGTATGTATTCCGGAGTTTCAGACCATGTGGCTTGATATGGAACAGCAGAATCAGTTGCCAATGCTGGAGCTGAGCGACACGCCGATTACAAACAGTTTGCATGTGCCCGCGTTTCTTTGGATGCGTTTGACAGCTCGTTTTTTAAATTCTGTTTGATGGAGTTCACCAAGTCTTTCACAGTTAAGTCTTCCTTGCATTCCAACAATTCAATTCGCACACCGTCCGTATGATTTAAGTTCATTGGTACTCATCATGGTCGGTTTTAATGCTAGCCGAACGCTGGCCAAATCCAACACTCTTCTTAAAGATTCCGTGAACTAACAATATGTCGCAGTTCTTCACGCCCCACGTCCTCTTTTATGGAACTGAGGGAATTCAACAGCCACGTCTGCGTACATCTGCATTGTTGTTCCCACACCAAACATATGGTACAAACCTGGCGTCAGACAAATGCACGTGGAATCAGGCCTCGCCCCTTGGCACACATCGTCAGTTGCGTATAACGGAAACTTTTCACCGTTAACTTGGAGCTTCTATCAGCATCGTGTAATGCGGAAGGAGGCACAGTGTGTGCCCCGTCTCACAATAAAGAATCAAACGCACCGTGCAGGAATGAATCGCAGAGGGTCTGTTTTCTATCAGTGAAATTCTGCAGGGTTGTCGTTGTTTTAGGTTATCCAAGACAACCACTGTGTTAAAACTGGGGAGATCCCGAAAGAGCATTCGTACGTGTTCGTCTGCCTGTGGTGTCGGTGAAACCGAATTTTTATAATTTCGGCCGCAGCATGCTTTGTCTCAGGGACAACCATCACTGAAACATGGGGCTATTATTGCCTCTGGAAATCATGGTTCACGATGGCCCCATTTAAAACCATGCATATAGGACTTAAAAAGTAGAATACATATATTGGTTTGGCCAAATCTAACTGACTACCCTATCCAAGGAGACGGCATAACGAAACTAGGCCGGTTGAAGTATGAAGCATTGGAAAGACAGAATCAGGCACTTTGGTTGTTACAGAATAAGTACTGGTTAAAGTTATTGCAACAAATACACTCATTTGCAAATCAGTTTGGTTTTTCACGGAAGACTCAAGTGAATCTCCCACTGAAGTTATGTTTGTGAAGGGATGGTTTGTGATTCCTTTGTTGCGGCAAAAAATTAGCCCTGAAACATCCGGTTTTCCCCAGATTGCCGAGTGGACGTTTAGATGTTCAGCCTCAAGTCAGAGCGTTATATATGTGGTTGTGATCATCCAATAGCACCGTAGAGCTCTACCTTGTGTACTATTTGGTTTGAAGTAAACACGCGGCTTATTTTCACAAGGATAGTCGTTAGCTGGCCAACCTCATTTAAATTTTTCTTTCCAGAGGTACCAGATAAGAGATAGGTTTCTCGTGGAATGTGGCATGTCTTAATTAATGTGTTAATCACAGGACTGAAGGGTTACTACCCTTCTATAAGTTCGCGCAAGAAAGCTAAGTGTGTGCGTGCGTGAGTGCATGTGTGAACCGAACACGTGCGTGCGTGCGTGCACATGCATATACCAATAGCCTTGCCCTCAAGGTAGCCAATAGCATGGATGAACGCAATAGGGCTTTGTTTATCTAAAAGATGAATTTCTCCATAGCTTCTCAGAATATTCGTTGACAGATTGAATGTTCAGCATTCCCTCCTTCAACAGTACATGAGAATGAATACCTCGACTTTGTTGCTCTTGGTTGCCGGCTCCTTTGTTCTAGGTACGTTTGTCAAGTGTCAACGATTCAGTTTTGAGAATTATGAATCTGGTTATCATTTCCACTGGTGTTTTAACGGGAGATTTGAAAACCTGAACTAAACTTTGTGCCTCGGAACCGATGGAAACACCAAACGGCTAACACAGGTGTGACACGCATGTCGTTTCGACATTAGAAGGGTTGTGGAAAGTATGTTGCGGTCGACAGGTGAATTTAAAAGTATTAAGAATTAGACCAAGTAGAACATAAAGTTGACGGAAACTCGGGGACTGCGCCTACCTGATGAGACCCAAGAAGGGCGAAACCGGTCGTGGGCTGTCTAAGAGTTCTCAGTAACCTTGTGTGTAGTTTCCTTTATTGAAAAATGAGTTATTTTGGTGTGGAAACTAGAAAATTGGAAGTTTTCTTTTCGATTATGCCTTGTACGTTATCGTCAGTGCATCCTAAACACGGTCCACTTTCAAACGCAGCAAAAATGGATGAAGGTGAAGGAAGTACCGATTTAAAAGGCATTCTTTTGGGATGGGTGTGTTTAGTTTGGGAATCGCTCCACCACTGTTTCTCGCTTTGCTGTTTCGCTCCGATCTTCAGGCAGAGACGTGGCCCACAGTATCCATCGAACATGGTTGGTGGGTTCTTCCAGTTGCAACTATATTGCAGACCAGGTTCGGATACTGTTGTGCTAATCAGGTCCAGAGTATTTCAAAACCGTTGCATTTTTACCATTATTTTGGCTTAGTTGTAAGTTTTGCTTGATTGACAAAAGGTTAAATTCCTATAATCGTTGCATACTGCGTTATTCAAGCAACTGTCCCTTGTGATTTCTAAGGATATACTCCGAAATACCTATTCGATTTCTTACAGTTGGAAGAAAAACTCTCGAAGTTATAATTGGTGCTGCTAATGGGCTGTTTTTCCCAAAGTTATATTTCAAAGGTGTAGAGGTGTGGTTTGGCCTTAGAGTGCTCAGTGACTGGAAGAGAGATGAGTAAGAGCACCCCTGTTACAAAAAAAATAATAAGGAATGGCAAATTGATATCACAGAGGATTTTAGTTGAGCATAAGTCTGCTAAGACCTGTGGTTGCTCTAAAGATTAAATCCACAGCCTGGTCCGTTCCGATCTGCAGATCATAGGTGGATTTTTCTGACATGCTTCGAGCAGGGATACCAAAATTAATCACACTGGCCATCTGTGTCCCAACTAAAACACGCGGATCACGTGACAGGGAAGTCAAGAATCCAATGCGTTTGGACGAGAACAGGAAAACATCTATGCATTGTGCTCCAGATTCTATGACACATCCGTCTTGGATTGTCCTGAATAATCATAGTACCGGGTTCAAAATAGGTCGAGAATTAGGATGGTCACTGTAAATCACGTTTGAGTTGATAGATGTTTTTAATATTTGAACTGGCTAAATACTTCCTGATGTTGCAGAAGCTGTTTCAATTAGGCCATTAGACAGTCGACGGAGTCAAATGTTCACCTCATGAGTAAATCGAATTTCTTTAACGCCCATACGCTCATTTTTGTCCCCTCGTTGGTCAGAATAGTAGTTTAACATACCAAAATGAACACCAGGATGTGTTCATCGATTAACCGGGTTTGTACGGCTGAACTTCAATGAAAAAGAACTCTGTTTTCAAATTGCAGTGTCTACCGGTAAGTCGGCCTATACTTTTTTTTATCGCATAGTTTCTGATTGGCACAACGACGCTGCATTTAAAATATTTGACCAAACATGTGGGTTGAGCACTGAAAAACCATTGGGCTGGCTGAACGCTCTGAGACATTTTTAACACATGTTGTTTCATCTCTTTTCTGTGAAGCGTAAATAATGATTTCGAAAACGATTTTGAGCCAAACCGAGATGTATAGCAGGTTATTCGTATGGTAGGAAAGTTGTAGAATCCCACAGAGTCGGCAGTCGACTGACAGAATCGCTGGTGCACATCGGTGTTTTAGAACCGTTTTATCGGCAACATACCACCAGATATTTTTAGCTTTGTAAATTGTGCCCCAAAACATTGATCGTTCCTCTTGCTTTCACTGAGTATAATGTTGGTGAGGCATCTGCACTCAGTGGCACGGAAATGCGTGTACACCTGAGTGGCACGGTTTTACTGATTCCCGTAATACATCCCCGCGGTGGTCCCTAAAAGTGTTATATCATGATTACACGTCACGGAATAAAGACAGAAAGCCAAAACTTGGTACTGGGTGGGAAATTTTATCACAAGTGTGTTCACCGTATGAGTTTCAGAAAGTCTGCATGTGGACTTAGGTGAGGTTATACTGAATAACACAAAAGTGCTGTTTCACCTTGTCAAAGGATGCAACTACTCGTTGTGTCCTGTGATCCACCTGATCACAATCACTCTCCGTGCTCCGATGAACTAGGCTCTGAGAAAAACCCGTACTGCCAGTTAGAGTGACTTTTGCATAATGGAATTAGGGTTCTTGGATGTGGTCCGTCCGTCAGTTAGTCGATCAGGCAATCAATCAGTCAGCCATTCAACCAGTTTTTCTGCCAGTGAACTGTGCCCCGAAGTGCATAGTTCCCGGCTACAGCAGAGTTGTTCACTGAGGTTCCAGCCGACGGTCCAAGTCCACCCCCTTACGAAAAATCGGAGAGCCAGCTCTTTTGATATGGCGGGTACTCACGACCGGCGTTTTGGCATCGCTGCCAGTTGTCACAAGAAACTGGGACAGAAAGCCAAGCCAAACACAAGGAGGCTGGCTGGTAGCACAGCAAACGAAAAAGTACAATTAACGTAATTGCGCTTCATCATAAAAGACTTTCCCAAAATCTGAGTTTCAATGAGGAAGGCTCCCATTGTGTTGACATCCAGATATGTGACTATTGTGTATCAATCAGAAGTTGCCTTAAAAAGAGACTAGCCAATATTTTCCGGAGAAGGTCAATGCTCCACAGCTTAGGATTTCTCATCTAGCCTAGTAAACCTTCAGCTTCGATACCAGACATTCGGATTGTCAATCACTTTGGAATCACTGTATAGTTTCTCAGTTGAATTTGGTGGCAAAATAATTTTTTTTTCGTCAGTTCAAAGATAAATAGACGGCAAAGCGTCTTTCTCCTCTTCTTCAGATGAGTGATTTGGTAGCCTAAGAGATTTCCAGCCTAATACTGTTACTAATCAACTACATTATCCATTTCTGTGAATCTGAAATGAACCAGCCCATTTCGATCGCAAACGCACTGACTGGGCCGCTGTTCTCCAGTCGATTGACTCAGGCTATTGTTGCCGTTGCAAACTAATGCGTGATGAACATAAAATATGATTCTATTAATTGATCGATTTGCATCATAAGCCTTGTTCACATTATCATCGAAAACAGCACACAAATTGTTCGAACACGTTACGGAAGGCAAACTGAGCACAAGGGTCTTACAACCTGAAGCAATAGAGCTGTGCATCGCATCGAAATAGGACACTGTCTGCCCCGCTGACACAGTATCCATTGCAAAAGCCATTCAGAAAATGCGTAGGATACAACGATGGATAAAATTTGGCCGGGAAATCTGGTTGGGAATTGATGACATAGCAATAATCAAACCAAGAGGAGTCACGTGGTTCCCGTCCAGGAAGTCGTGAATATCCCAGGGTATCCCTTTTAAATGAAGTGGCTTTTGTGGCGAGCAGGTCTGTCATAGTTTGCCCTGCCAGGCACATAATCAAAAGCCATCAGCGTTCTTCCGGGTGTAGCCTTGAGTCCTAGATTCATGCTCACTTTCGGTGTTCAGTCCATAGTAACAGCGAAGATCGACCGCTCCTAGCTGACCTGTTTGAGCCCCAGAACCTAGCAGAGACTTGTGAAATTCTCAGTACTGACAATCCCCAGTAAGGATAAAGCACTTGCGAGCATAGATTTCTAGCCAAAAATAGGTCAGTGGAAATTCCCGAGTCACCTAAAACCCTGTTTAATGCTGGAAAAAGATACAATTTCAACAAATTAAAACCTTTTGTCGTCAAACTCAAATAAATATATGCTTTGTTTCCTTGAAACGCCGCCTTTCCCTGGCGAAGCGAATAACCCGAGAACAAATGGTAAGTAGATCCTTGTTTAACTCATAACTTCAAGTTATTCAGTCACTTGGACACCGCGGTTGAAGTTCTTCACCTGATACCGCACAAGGTTTTGTGTACTTTTACGGATTGGGTTTTGTCTGTAAGCCTTCTTAAATGCAGTTGATTACATGATCCTACAGTATTTATTTGTGCCGTGTATTGAACACACTGGGACATCAACTCTCAAGACAGTTTGAGTGACAGACTGGTCACGATATTAGCAATCGACTGAATATCAATAACGGATATATCGATTTATTTCTGTAAACTATTTATTTTATCGCGTGTTGGATGAGAACACTTTACTTGGTACAGTGGTCCAGGTCCCAACTGGATCCGCTTCTAACTTTTGGTGATGGCAGTTCTTTGATCCATGAAAGAGGATGCCTTGCGTCCGCATGCTTGTCTTACATTGCTGAACGCAACGTTAACGTTAGCCCTCGAGTTAAATCTGCGCCATATTATAACAGTATGTTTCAAGAAGCAAAGTAGAAATGGTTTGCCGACGTTGACCCTTTCCAATGACTAGCTGGACTCACACAGTCCTCAGAACAATTTTTTGTGATACCAAAGATCAGCTGCCATTTCATCATGTTATCCTGCTTAATGAGGATATCTTTCTCCTCGATTGTGAGGGTACAAAGATTGATTTTTGGTATATATATATATATATCATGGGCGTCTTAGAGAACGGAACAGGTTATTAGATGGCTGTGTTCTTTTGTAAGTCTCACCACTCTAAACTTTTATCTGATAGGCCGGATTTTAATTCCATTTTGGATTAGTTACGGGACAATATCCTTTTACACTCAGCCCATTTCTCTGTTAGCATTCACGTGTACTGTTCTCAACTCGCCAACAGAGCTCTAAACACTAACTCATTGAAAATTTTATGTTTGATGTCTGAATTCGACTAAGGTTTTAACGGCTGTTGAGCCAACGGGAAGAGACTGATGATTGAACAAGTAACGCTTAAACAATCACTCTTTCAAAACCACTTCGACTACGCCATCTGTTCGGCTAACATGACATCTATATTTAATGCGCCGCTTAAGAACACAGCAAGACGGATGGATAATCGGGGGATAGACCCGACTCATGAGCACTAAGAACAGCCTAACCGGTGGCTGACTGCCCACAACAATAACTCGAGTGAAGTGAATCATGCACCCCTTACCATGAATTGACCAAAATATATCAAGATTACATAACCACTATTTTCTGTACTTTTATTCAAGGTTTCATGCTATGATTAAAGTCAACCCATGCTGGAAGTCCCAGAAATACTTCGCGCCTTTTATGTTCCTGTCAGGAACCATCAGCAGTACGTAATTCAGGAGTCTTCACAAAAGGTTTCCAAACACGGCTAATGGTTGAGGACGATATCATTCACCCAGGACCGGATGGGCAGCAGTGATTGACCTTCACAGATGCGTTATAAAGTACCTTAGGTACCATAAGTACTTATAAATTTCCTTAAGCAATGAAAGTCATGCATCGATTGGGTAATCGAGTGATGAGTCTTCGTGCAAACCACTTGAAAGAATCTTCTTTTCTTTTCAGTTACTTAAGACGTCAGAGCTAGGAGTCGTTAAACTCCGGCAAGTAAAAAACAAGAGAACTTCTGGGCAACACGTATTTTTGGAACTATGTATAGCAACTTGTCTAGTTAAATTTAGTCCCAAAATGTATCGCAGATATTGGTTCTGCTACTTAGGATCTATCGGACTGCACATCAGCTTGGTGGGGCCGAGATGGCTCAAGTGCTTAGAGCGCGAATTCACTGACCGGAAGGTCCGTGGTTCGACCCCGACCTCTGCCTCTCGACTTCACCTAGGCTTGGGCAACCTGGCAGTATCCCAGCCCTCGTGCTTCCTTCGGGTAGCATGGCAGCTAGGCACCGAAAAGGCTCTACAGCTGAACGATTACTTTGTTTTATTGTTATTAGAGTATATGTGAGGCCCGGAGAACGCAAAAACTTCTGTTTGTCCTGCAATGCGGCTACGCTACACTTACGATCTCATATGAAGACATTGGACTAACATGTCACGATGCGACATGAGACAGTCCGTCACTTGTCCTTTATAATAAAGTTCGATCAACTCTCAACTTTCCCTGTCTAGGCTTGGGCAACCTGGCAGTATCCCAGCCCTCGTGCTTCCTTCGGGTAGCATGGCAGCTATGCACCGGAACTATGTTACAGCTGAACAGTTATTATTACTTCAGCTCGGTACTTAAGATCTGCTGAAGTTTTCTTAATTTGGTAAACGCCTAATTTCAAAACAAACAAAATTAAAGTCCATTTCGTCTTATCTTAATGTGGCCAGGAGGTTGGAGGGTTTAACTGAGTCTGCCTAAGTATGTTGGGACACACGCTCCTCGTCCGCAGAATGGCTAATCAGACAAAATAATAGATGTGTTTGCTTGTGTATCAAGCACAAGTTCAATCAGAACTTTCAACCAGATTAATATGTATCTTCTGCATTATGCACTTTTCGATGTATTTGAGGTTGCCTACGCAGTACCACACAACCTGACGGTCGGAACTGGCGAAAGCTGCACTCCAGTTTTTCGAATCTTCCTTGGATTGTGTTAAGCACTGTCTAGCAAAGTCAACAGCTGTGAACATCTGACGTAGGTTAAGACCGTAATTGGTGGGTTCTTCTTCTCTGAATGCCATGAAGCCTTGGACGACAGGGGCTTTTGGGAACCATAAAGGAAACTCCAAGTGAAGGCCGTTGATGAAGGCTGTTTACGGGTAGATGGCCAAAAGATGCACTCAGATTGACTTTCCTTCTGACTGTTACGGGCATCCACTGGAACTCGTCATACCAAAGCGTATGGGACAGTGGGCCACTTTGAAAAACTGACTCAAGTTCATGATGAAAACGGTTGATAGCAGAGAATTTCAGAGGGGCTAAATTTCGAGGCCCAGAATGGTCTTGCTTCATACCGGGGAAAGTGAAGTTTCTAGAGAACATCAAGTTTCGCACTGAGGAAACGCCACGCAGATGGCATTTTGAGCAAGCCGTTCTTCTCAGTTTTGCTCGTCATAGCATTTTGGTATGCAGTCACTCAAAACTAACGTACGGTGATGTGACTAAAAGTGCTTGCTCTGAATCTGCATATGCTTCCCTTTTAATAAAAGCACCCTTGAGAGGCTCAGTTGAGTGTCATCACTTGAAAGACTCGTCAACACGCAGTCAAGTGATCTGGATTACAACGTGAGTGCAAGAGCAGTGGCTCTGTGTCTGGCCAAAAAGCGGGCTGATCAGCTGTTCATCATCGAACGGCTTATTTGCAACCACAAACTGCGTTTAATCTCCCTGCGGATACGCAAAATTCTCACCAAGAATGATTCCAAATAGGGAGGAAATCGGTGTACGGAGCTGTACACTTTCTCGGCTTTAGCTGACTTCAATTAAGGCAAGAAGTTTCCATTCAATGATTAGGTATTACTTCTAGCATAATAAAGAGAGAGAGTTCTTAGATAAGTTAACAAGATTACTGCCTTGCGGAAACATACTTTCGTTTATCGATCTGGTGAGTGTCGTCTGCTGACGAATTACCACATTATGCGAACTACAGTGAGAACACTGCCATTGTGGAATTTTTTCATAATTAGTCTACCAATTAGTGACAACCTCTACTCTACTTTTCCGAACTAGTCATTAGAGACGAAATGAACCGAAAGTGATCGATCATTAGTACAACAAAGCTACTCTGATGAAATTATTTTCATCTCACCTTGCACCAAACGCATTCAACTGGATCAACGGTGGGCATGCTTATAAAAAAACTGTTCGTGGTTCTCAAATTTATGTATTGAATAATCTGTCAAGTCGTATAAGAGACCACGACTGAGGTGAGATGGCCCTAGTAGTAGTTGGAGCGCAAATTTACAGCCTCTCGAATTCCCCTGTCTAGACTAGGGCAACTTGGCAGTATTCCAGCCTTCGTGCTTACTTCAGGTGACAGCAGCTGGGCAGCTGAACGAATTTTTCACGACTAGTTTTTGAACAATTTGGTAACCCGAATGGATAGCTCAAAAACCACTATTATTGCACTGTAGACGCACGTTTTACCCACCCAGCAATAGTTCTCTTTTTGATTTGATGTATTCTTTGCATTTTGGCGTTTAATTTAGTTTTTTTGCTTGTGAAAGTCTTTGGATAAGAATGGTACATAAAGGCTGCTTCATGTTTCGATTGTGAAACTACTCGTAATTTCCGTCAGTACTATGAACACCCCAATACCGATTACTTTCAATCAAAGCACAGAATAAAATCGATAATGAGCCTTAAAAACTAGCGGATGGCTGTCCTAATTTTTCACAAAATACGCGTTGGCTGAGGAGTCCGTTTGCCTTCCTAATGACCAGAGTGCTGAGTGTGATCGCGGAGTTTACATCCGGGTCATCAGGCTGCCGGTTCTTAATTTTTCAAAACCAGGCCAGCGGAGCTAAATTCCTATACAGTATTAAGGCAGTTCGATTTGACGCATGTTCCATAAACTTCTAGTTTTGTTTAGAATTCCCACCTGTTAGTCGACAAGAGCACTTGAAAAAGTTGGCTGAATAATCGAAAGTAGTTTCACAAAGGAAGAAAGAGGTGAGGAAGTCTTAATCAGATGCCAGCTACAGACATCCTGTTCTTGAATCACACTATTCTGCAGATTTGGCAATCAGTGAATAGCACAAAATTTAAGTAGCTTTCAACGAGATGTCTCACCCAGGGCTTATCAGCCGGACAGCTAAACCTATGACGGGCAGATCTACTGCGTGCAAGTATTGTCAAGCCCGAACGACGACCAGTTAGCGGGGAAATCAGGCGTGCATGCTACATGGAATTTTTTGAGGATACTACCAATGGATGGTAGTACTTGATCTCTTGTTTATTATGACTTTGGAGACTTTCGCGGTATTGGCTGGTGGTAAGATTTTTTAAACAGATTGTCCCTTCTCTTGCGACTGGTGCACACAGTCATACCGTATTGTTACAAGGATAGACATGATATAACGACTCAAGTCTTGGGCTGATAATCAACACCCTGATATGAGATTATTCCAGGCTAAAATCTGGGTACTTTTGTTCCAAAGTCGAAAGGTCACTTCTTACGGACTCGCGAAATGCTCGCTGTTGGCTTTCCCGCTGAGGATGTTCCTCGGTTTTCCGATCCTGGCTCAACATCAGACGTGGCTTGAGTTCCGCCAAAAACCGAACGACAAGACATACTCACTAATAAGGGAGATTGAATGTGAACTAGGTATTTTTCGCCTAATATCAGTATAGAAGATTCTTCTGTGGGTGTTGAAAAGCTGACAGGCAGTTTAGAACCATTCCATCAGCAGTTCACATCTTGAGAATCTTTGGAGGGTTTCAAATTGGTTATCTGCGGTCAATGAGCGGCACGCAGTTGTTGAAACTTTCTGGATGTGAAATATTCATACATTTCATCCTCGTCTCCCACAATCTTAATCAAAAACAGAAACTGGAAAATACAACTTTGCAAGAAAGCTGTTCGATTCAAAATGGATCACCAGTACAACGGCATCCACGACAGATATTGATGCGATTCGGTTGGTGGAGTGCAGAGGTGAGTTATCGCCAAAAAAAATACCGATTTATTGTTGCTTTTTACTGCAATAAACGCCGTAAATTATGTGCGTGGTATTATTTCCTCCCCATCAGACTAACTCCACAAAGTTTTGGAAACATGATCATCCGGATAGTAGTATCCATTTGGTCACCAGAGACTGATTAACGCTGTGTTCAACTGTTTCATAGCATATGTCATTTTGTATGACCGGGTATTAGTCAACTTAAGTCAACTTAGGAGATTTCTCAAAGGAAAGGATCTTTTGAGCTAAAAATGCATTTGATTTTGCATCCAAGACGTAATTGTTCGCCTAAAGTTGTCCAATAGAGACTGTTTTGTTCCTCTGTTTGTGAAGTCAGCTTTGGGAAAAGCGGTCGCTTGAATTTAGTGTTTTTGTACGCAGTAGTGAGGTAATGACCTGTGATATCTCCTAGGAGCGGACAATGATTTTCTGTAAATTCGAGTGGAAGGTAAGAACAGAATAGTCTTGGTGTTTTGGCATCGTTATGTCATATATCAAGCCTCACCTATTAAAGTAGGCTAGAGTGTGGTCTCTGTTTAATCGTTTCACCCTTAGCTAAGTTTTAATCTTCAGGTTGCATGATTTGTTTAACTGGGTAAAAGTAGGCCTGAACCTCCCACTCTTGGCAGCCATACATACCTGCAGGTTTTGGGATGAATGTTCTCCCCTGGTAAACTGATGGAACTCATTCAAGTGAGTCATTTGTCCGCAGACCTGATAACGAGCAGTCATAACCCACCTACTGTTTGTTATCTCCGCGGAGTGCAAAAATCGGACCAGTCAGCAAGATTTCTTGCTAGTAAGCTAACTATGGTTTATGTGAGAGCTAGAGGGAGTCTAAGACCAACGGAGATCCCACATGGATTTAGGTCCATCTTAGGATCTGATTCTTCCGGTTCGCTTTACTTGAAGATTCCTCTTGGACGTTGTTTACACATTTCGTCCGTCTGTGCAGGTGGGCTAATGCTGCACTAGTTGTGTAAGAGAGAGCGCTTCTGTGCACTTACTTTGGGTTGGGGTTTCTACCCATTTTTTGGTAATGATTTACCGTTTACTGACACCCAAACAACTTTGCTTGTCAAGCTGGCTTAGCTGAGACCGCTCTCTAAACACTTGCCAATTCCACATTCTTTATTCTATCCAAGCTGTGGTGCCTAGGGTTTTCCACACCCTCGGCCATTAGTTGCTTTGATGTGAGTCGCGGTTAGCGTCTTGTGACTTCCCCGTTTTCCAGGTCCATTCTATGTCCTTTGTCCAAAGCATTGCTCGTCCTTGACAGGCGCTTGGTGTACTTCCGACGGTTGTTCATCCTTCTCCTGTGTTCGCCAGTTATGATGTGCAATCCCTTGGCTGGTTATTGATGGACCTGGATAACTTGTTTTGTTTTCTGTAGGCCTTGATACTGCTGTTGTTTCAACGCATTTAGGCTTGTTTGTCGGTTTCGCGGCCCCATCGAGTGAGAACGTTTGTAAACTAGAATTATTAGGTTTGATCAGGCAAATGAATGTTTTTCATCCATACATTTCTGCTCATACATTTTGTGTCTTTTATTTGAGTCAATTTGGTTTCTCTCACCTATCACCAATGTAGTGGATGATGGGCAGCAGACCGCAGCAACGCCTTTGAAAGACGCGCTTACGAACATCTGGAGTGATAAGCCGGACTTTGCAACAGAAGCGTGGACTGGTACGTTTAGAAAATAGGCAGAATTAAAACATAGAAATGATATTATCAACTTAAATGTAAAGTAGTGTAAAAGTAGTCCGCTTTCCGGTTCAAGCTGTTCCGTTTTCACTCTTGTTCGTCTAAAACTGGTTTTTGAATTAATTACTCACAGACTTTTCCGATGATGGTTTCCCGAAACACTCAGTATGTTTTTTTTCAAAATAACGAAGGGAATAAGACTCTTGTGATTCACATTTTTTACTTATTTGGAGTGGTACACTCCGTCTACACTCCGCATGCAGATATCATCGTCTTTTGGCACATACATACCATCTATGGTTCACAGCTGAGGTGGTCCGTGGACGGCCACTAATGAATGCACCACCAGTGAAAGGAAGAAGGCCTTCGCCGTGGAGTTCTTTACTAGAAAACGCCAACTGACCAGTTACAGACCATTGGACAGGGAAGCAAAACTCTCATATGCATTTTATTTACAAAAACTGAACATCCATCTTCTCTTGAACATGTCTTCCTGAACGTCTCTGGATATTCATTGACTTTTGCTCAATTCCATGCAAATGCTAAAAAGCAACTGCACGAATTCCGGCAATAGATCCCCTTTTCAAGAGACGTAAAGCGGATTCACAAAAAGAAAAACATAGTACTCGCATGCGTCTTCATCAGTAGCATCACCGTTACGCCGATAGGTTTCTTAGCGCTGATTTTATCCCGTTTCAAGAAACGCCCTGCTAACCAAAGCCTTTCAACAAGCATCGGATCGAATGCAACGAAAAACAATAAATTTCCCGGAAAGTAATTTGAGATTTAGAGGAAATTAAATATATGTTATCAGTGGGGCGTGTGTGGTCATTGTCGACAACGCAACGTTGAGCAATCGACAGGTTATTGAATGCTCGTGTGTGTTACACTATACTATAGTTATAGTACAGTATAATCATAGTATAGTTATAGTGTTAGTAATTATTATTAGTAATTATAGTATAGTTGCCGTACAAAACATGGTAGAAGTCAAGTTTCTTTAGGAAGCACCGAAAATGACGGAGCATTCAAGTAGTGCATGTGACGTAAAGAGGCGAAAACTATCATCACTCAAGCATAGTCGCTGTAGTGAGAGTTTCCAGGATACTGTAGAAATTAACGCTTTTCTGAGCAAAGATAAATACAAGTTCGGCGTCTGTTCCAAAATCTTTGCAACATCAGTTCAAAGTTTTCTGATCATGCGTTGAACGGGACACTTCAGGCTTCAGGATGATAGTTGGCCAAACGCCTCTAGAATGGATAAACTTTAATGAGAGACAAAAATAATGGCAAAAACAGGTTTCACCAAGCAACGACGTTTGCTGTGAATATAAGCGTCTGGTCTTATACTAAAGGTCGATCTGGACCTCGTTGTGTTCTGTATGAACTCATGTGACATCTACACGGAATGACCAATTCTCTAGAAGGTCAAACATTAATCATGGATGAATCCAAGAAATTTGATAATCTTTCTCCATAAAGTAATAATAATAATAATAAGTTTTTGGATGTTTGACCTAATTTACTTTTGTTACTAACTTGCGCCCAACCATTCAGCCCAACAAAAACAAGAACTCACGGCACAAATCAGCCAAGTGTCGACATTCTATGAGAAAGTTAACGCCAAAGAGAACGAAATTGGAGAAAAATGCATAGGTATGTTTTGTGATTTGCGTCAGCGCTGAAACATTTCTCAGTATTATGTTGTCATCATCAATTAGTATATGTTCCGAAATTATATTGGGGGCACCCGGTCCTATTTTCAGTTTTATCTGCCTTCATGCAGCAATCTATATGTCAATATCTATCATCTCTTGCAACCTTTGACAAATAATTGAAAGAAACTCTGTTACAAACGGCGTAGAGAGCCCTCCGTTGATGTAGGATCAATCCAGTAAGCCTGGAAGACTGCCAGATTTCAGAGGATACATCATCGGTTGCTTGTAATCACTAAAGGGGAGTAGCTCTTTGCACAGATATTACGAGTCGGTTCAGTGAGCAGCAGTCCCAAACTTCCCCAGTCCGCATTGTTCTTTGGGTGAATGGTCGAGTAAAAGGCATTTACCGACCTCTTCGACGCAGGACTTGGTTCTGAGTGTTAATTCTGAATAAATTTCACTCACCAGGAAATAAAATGTTAAAAATGCGACAATATTTGTTTTTTCAACGGTAGTTGACGTAAGGTGTCTGTCATTTTCTGTGGTAAAGCTAAGCCACCTGAATCACCACAGGGGAGTTAACAACTTTCCTGTTCTAAATTTCTCTAACGTCCCATTACTCCGAAATTCGCACTGCGCGCTTTCTTTTGTGCAAACACCGTTTTATTTAGAAATGCACCACTCTTCTTCAGAATACCTTCCTTACCTTTCTAGATTTTGGTGACCAAGTCCCGTATCCAAATAAGTCAGTGTGCTTCAGTGGCAGTAATTTAGTTCCGTTCTTGTTAAGTTACCCGTTGACCGTGTATCGGTTGTTGATCAGGTGGCTGTTGATCTGTTCGCCAAACTTGGCAATGGGCTTGCAAACGTTTCGTCACCATGCGAGGAGACTTCATCAGTGCGCAGTTGGTTGGGTACTTCTTCCTTGCCTGCGTGCGTTTATATAGCATTCGAAGGCTATCTAATATCTTCTGACGTGTTTGGCTACTTGAGGTGTAGCAAATTTAGTGAAACTATTGGTCCGTGTGTTGTCTTTGTTGCGTTGTGGTCTATGTTCCCTTGTGTTGATTGGTTATCCCAACGCTTTTTAACTTTAGTAGCTTGTGCTCTATGGCCCCGATCCACTTTGCGCTGTGGTTTGACGTTCTCGAGTTTGATTGGTTGCTTGTACCGCCCTATTTCCTTCACCGTGGCGGTTAGTCTCCCTGCGTCCGCCGGTTGATTTGGTGCTTTGGTTGAGCTCCTCCTCTAATTCAATTGATGTGTCTGTTTGAATGATGCTTTCCTGCTTCTCCTGTGAGTTGCTCGTCTGGTTGCTTTTGCAGCTCTAAGCGCTGTGGTTCTGGCGTTCTCTCGCTCTTAGTGGCTGGTAAATGGGATCAATTTCGATGTGCCTGTTGACGGCTTCTTCGGTGGAATACCACGCTTCCATAAATTCGCGTTCAGTATGCAAACGCAGTATGCAAAAGTAGAACTCGCGTCCTTCATGATCTTTGTGTGCGGAGATGAGGGAGAGCTGATCGTGTCTTTTAGCGGCGAGCTTGCATTCATGTATTCTGGTGGAGAGCTTCCTTCCGGTTTGTCCTACATACCGTATGTCGCAGTCCTTGCATTGGATCCTGTATATGATATTGTTCTTCGCCAATGAGTCTAGTTTCCATTTTGATCTTGATAGTGTCCACCGCAGAATACTCGCAGGCTTGTAAGCGATCATTGTATTGTGCTGTCGTAAGAGCCTTGCGGTCATTTCAACGGTGTTGAACAACATGGACCTTAGTTAACACAACTGTAGACGCCGGACAAAAAAATAACCCAGATGCACCCAATAGCACCCAATGCACCCAATAACTGCAAGTGTTTCATCTTTTGCCCAACATGTATTACACTCTATTTGTGAGCAATGATCATTCCAGCACTAACTAGACACAAAGACATCAATAAAGCCCCTTACATCGAAATTACACAGCACCGACCAATGGTGCTAACAACCAAGTTCAAAACGTAGGTATGGCTCTTCTGGAAAGCGGGTCATGGTTTGTATTGGACAAGAATACGGATGAAAGCTAAACACCGGCGAAACAAAAGAACCAAGTAAGAAAATCGCTTTCCTTGAACCAGCAAACTCCCAGTTACCACATCCATACACTCAAAACCTGTGTTATACCAGCAATTTTCACCTATTACGATCTTTCTATCCCCGTTTATTCATCTAAAACGGACGGCATTTCTAGGCCAAAAGACTGCCAGTAGTCCTTTACATGATATTAATTCCGACAGTGTTAAAAATGGACCGGGTTTATTTCAGCCGAATTTTTTTGGTTTCTCCCTTAAAAGTTTTGTCGAAAGAAAGGGAGTTCACCAAACTTCAAGTCTAATTTCAATGAATATTAACCGGTAGAGCGTGGACTGGTCCTATAATCAAGAAACTTGGCGTAGTTCACACTGAAATTCTTGTTTAGACAAAATCTTTCCAGTTGACACGATTTGCTTCAAAAGCTTTTTTGCTGCCATACCATAGAAAGTGAGTCAATCGTAAAGAAGAAGAAAGGTTTTCATACCATTTATATTTTCTTTCAGTTATTGAAGATTCAACAGGTGAAGCACTCTGGTTGACCTTGAAGAGGCTCGGTAGGTTTGCTGTTTGGGGAAAGACATACAAGGAACTCATTCAGCTAGACACGGATATAAATGGTAAGTAGTGCAGAGAAAGGTGAATCTCCTCTCTTCTAACAACCCAGACATGCCATTATCCAATCACCTCAATGGCGGTAATAGCCAATGTATGTTTTGTGCCAGAACACGCAGGTCTCTGTTTATGTAATACACTACTCCTCGACAGCCCACGATCAGTTTCGCCCTTCTTGTGGCTCAGCAGGTACGCGCAGTCCCAGAGTTTCCGTCAAACTTATGTTCTACTTGAACCCAAATTGCACAAAATTAGCGAAATACGCTCCTTTGCAAACTAATTTATTTCGACGATATGCCCACTGGACTCCCTAAGTATTGAACCCAAATGCACAAAATTAGCGAAATACGCTCCTTTGCAAACTAATTTATTTCGACGATATGCCCACTGGACTCCCTAAGTATTATAAAACAATGGTGTTTTAAGAATTTGCTAAAACCAATCGGTGGTCGGGCGGTTATTACCAGCGATTTTGGTCGTCAGATATGCGGCAGCGCTTGAAGCGACTGGATCATTCAGCAGCTGCAGACCAACTTCCATCAATTTAAACCATCTTTCTAAATGACATTCAACAGATCAAACGGTCTCAGCTGAATTTGAAATAAGGCAACTTACCGGCGTCAAAGGTTGCTCAAGTATGTGAATGATAGGTCTCAATCGGTTGTTTCGACCAATTGAAGTTCGGCTAGATTTCATCAGTTGACTACACTTCAATTTTCCTTCAAGATATTCCGAAATAATTGATCACTAATAAAAGCCATGCGACTTATTGGTCTAAGCTGTAAGTAGCCAAATGGTCAGTCATGCTCCATCGACGCAAAGAACGTTTGAGGCTAGCTAATTTATCGTGATATTCGAATTTGGCTGGACCACTGGTCGAAGGTAAGAGGAACATGGTTTCCACGTTTGAGCGTGCAGAGAAATGCAGTCGAGAGGGGGCTTCTTTCATTGAAGAAGCCTGTGAAATTAAGAACGTATAATCCTCAAAACCAGCTTACAGGCACAAGCATTTCCGAATTAGAGTTTCATGTGTCTCAGCTTTGCAAATAGCTTGGCTAACAGGGATTCGAATCTCTTCATCCAAGACATGTGAGCTCGAATGCTGAAGATGAAGGCTGAATTTGGTCACCACGTGGCTAGAAATTCGGACACTTGTGTCCTATGTTTGCTTGTTAAGCAGATCGGAGTTGACTGCCTTTGGATGGGGCCAGCTTTTTTACCCACCTCTAACATGAACAAACAGCCCATCCACAGTGTTTGATGTGTCACCCTGCATTGTTGCCTCACTTCACTACGATGTGATTGGCATTAGTGATGCTTTGATTTGTAACAATCTGCTAAAGTCTTTGCACGCGAGAAATACATATCCATCTGTTTATCATACAGGACTCACCGAACCAGTGATAACTGCTACAGGCCAGGTGCTCGAAAGTACTAAGAAGGGCATAGAAGTTGTTCGAAACCAGTCATTCGACGATTGTGCGGGTAAGTCATAAATGAATCAGGTTGTGTTCCTAAACCCTGAAGAATTCCTTAACAAGAATTACAAACAAATAATTCGGCTAAACCAATAAGGAAAAGGTTGAGTGTAGGCGACACTGAACACTATTCAAGTGAGACACGTTATTCTAAGTGAAGTACGATTAAGTAATCACTGAACTCCTGTCAACTATACTTGTGAGCCTATCAGAACCTATCTCGTTGATAAGTTTGATCCAAAAATCTCCGGAGTGAACTTCAGGAAAGGCGATTTTTTGGAAAAGCTCGACTTAGAACTACTTCCGCTTAAACTGACGTACAGTGTTCAGAATTGATCTAATTTTTCAGAATCCTATAAAAAATTGTTCAAGCATCAAATGGGGATGTTTGAACACAATGGATTCAAAGTCCACCCACTGTGTCACGTATCAGTTATCTGCGACGAAATCTACACCAGTCTACATAAGGTACCAGATGGGTGACCGTAGAATATGGAGCATGCCATCGTGTTTATATTAAACGGTACTACACCAAGTTGTACGAATTTACTCAACTTTAGAGATAATGTGAATGTAATACTCTACACAAAATCTGTTATTCCCATTTGAGTAGCGTGGTTTCCCTCGTTCTGCTGCATCTACGCGACAGGCAAAATTCGCGTAAGCAGTGCTTAAGTTAGGTAAATCCCAGTGAAATGAGTCCAAGACCGTCTTATGGAAATTTCGAGCTAATCAGTCGCTTTTGTGTCTGAGATTGTCTCAGCAGTGATCACGAGTTGGTACTTTCAATGTCAATATATCTGCTGTCCAGATTAGATTATCAAGGTCCCGTTAATGTCCAGCTTATCGTTAGTTGTTGCAGTAAAAATGTGAAAAAATGTACCTCGAATGCTCAGAAACAAGGCGTATGCAGAGTTTTGCCTGCTTACTGGCGTAAGGACATAATGAGTTTCTTATATTCAGATTGAAAAAAATACATATATTCTCCGGAAACTGTTCTACCAAAGGGCACCAACAATTAAATTAGTATGGATTTTTTATCCTGCTTTTCATAAGTGTGACATGCCAGGCAATCATACCAAATTCACAATTCTTTGTAGCTGTCACCCCAAATCTGCTGCCAGCAAACGTAAAAACCTATTTGCGAAACACTCTCGGTTGGCTTGCTCAGGCAAAACTGCGCACTACCAGATTTACGGACTATCTACTGGCGAAAGAAGAAGGTGGGTTGCGGTTACTTTGAAGTTGTTAAATGTTATGTTGTCGCCCTAACGAGATGCGTCGGTGGGACTTACTGACCGAAAGGTCCGTGGTTCGCATGCGACTTCTGAGTCTCGATTTCGCCTATCCAGGCTCGGGCAATATGGCAGTATCCCAGCCCTCGTGCTTCCTTTGAGTGGCATAGCAGTTAGGCAGTTGGAGCCGAGTGGATTTTTCCAAAGAATTTTGTCACGTTAGCATCCTGGTAGCTATGTATCGGCAACTTCAGTTTTCGATCGTTCGGATGCATGCTCGACTCAGCGGAGCATTAGACATCCAACGTAAAAGTTTCCCTTCAATACGAAAACCGAGCCAGTTAATTAGCTGTTTCTATACAGCGAAGACACCCATTATCATTGATGCAGACAGCATTTAAGCCAATGTTCAGGAGGTGATTAGGATTCAAAATCTAGGTAGTCAGAAATGCACGTGATGACATTAAGGAAGGGGTTAGACCCCTTCAGAAAAGACTCAACAAGCAAGGAAATCACTCATCGTCTGTTTTCTGAGAGACGTACAGAGTCGA